TTATCAAATAGAACTATTTTATTTGTTAATTTGTTTGTCACTTTAATTCTTCTTCATCCAGTTTTATAATCGATTAAATCTGTTTCTAACAAGAAATAAAAAACTGAACATGAAAAAACAATTATTATGACGCACAACATTTTTTCTTTATTACAGACAGTACTTCTGGAAATTGTTTACTCATAAAATGACCACGACGTTCTAATTCCCTATATTCAGATTTTAATTTGTCGGCAACAAAACGTGCTTCTTCTACTGGAATAAGTTTATCACTTGGAGAATGAAATTGAACAATCCATTCAGTATTGCCACGTATAGCATCCCAGTCCCTTGAAAAATTTTTTAATTAATTTTTTATTATTTTCATAAAAATAACAGTCAACATACCATGGTCGATTATAATATTCACTTGCTCGTTCATTTTCATCACCTAAATCAGTATGACAGGCTGCTACGAGTATCACTCCACGTACTTTATCTTTTTCAAGTAATCGCATGATTGCTTCACAACCAGAGCTGTGTCCAACTAAGATAGTTTTTTCATCAAATTTTAGTCTATCTCGAATAAATGGTACCCATTGTGATTCACGAGCACCATGAGGATCAGGCATATTTTCAAGAATAACAGAGAATCGACCAGTTGGATCCTTTTCAAGTTCTTGTTCAAGCCATGCATACCAATTACAATCTCGTACAGGTACACAACCCATACCTGGTACAATAATAATACGTTGACGTTCTTCTTGTTGGTTGGTATTCTCTGACATCTAAAGAAAACAGTTCATAAAGTAAAAATAAGTTTTTTTTTTTAACACTTCGTCATGAACTGCCATCAGTCAATCACACATATGAAAGGTTCGAACTTAAAAGTGAAGAAATCTGAGTCTACCGTTGAAAAGAGAACGATTGGTAGAATCTGAAATGGAAACATTTCATTCCAGAACACCACTGAGTGTTCTAGATACACGAAATCTTTCTTAGAGTGGATAACTCGAATATTTGTGTAAAATATGGTAATGGAATACATCGTCAAACAAGGACCGATCAGCAGAAAAGAAAAAGATTCTTCGATTAGTTATTAATCGATCGCACATGAAGTACTCTTCCAACTTATAAACAGCGTACACATGTTAGATATATATGAACTAACATAATGCTTTCAAAAGCCGTTTCTACTTTTGAAGAAATTCCGTAACAAAACTCGCTTATGTTGATAATTTTCACAAAAAAAACCAGTGACCCCAGATAAAACTCAACAATCTCTATCGACTACACTCATCTTGAGTACTGTTTGATTTAATATTAGTATCTGTTTTCTAGAAACAGTGTCTTCAACTTTGATTTTTCTCGAATCTTCCTCGGATCGGAAAAGTAGAAAACTTTTTTTGCGTCGGATTCTAATAAAAAAATACATCATTTCATGCAGAATCCGATGATGGTGATAAACATCTGATTGCTTTTTGCTTTCATTCTGTCCAAACTGTGATTTGCGAAAGAGGATGATGAACACTATTTTTAGTTTGCTATTCGATGCAGTTATAGTTGTCAAGAAATGACCTAATATTCTGAAAGTTTGTGGAAACTTGAACAACTTTCATATAGAAAGTTTATTTGCATCTCGCTTTGTTTCGTAATAAAATGCTCAACTGTCAGTTCCACTAAAAAATTCCATTTTTTGACATTGCGTAACGGCCAGTATTTTCTAACTAACTCAGCTTCAGTTAAAAGAAAATTAATAAAATTTCTGCTGATAGTTGATCTAAATGATCTCTATCTATAATAAAAGTTTTAAAGAATTTACTTTTGCTATCGGCAAGAAATCGATGTTACAATGTAAAAAAAAAAATTGGAATTCTGTAACGAGTTTGGTCACACCATTTTTCAAAAAATGATCAGTATTGCATCTTTTTAATACTAACAAAGTGATATTGAATGTTTGGTAATGATGTAGCGCGACTGTTCTATATCCTAACCAAAGAATTTTGTTGAACGAACATTTTTCTTTTCATTTTTGAATAATTTCTTTCTGGACTCGCTGAATAGTTACAAAAATATAAATGTGTTATAAAATCACTGTTCAATCTTCTTATATAATGTCAACTCTTCAAAAGTATCTCATCATGTCTAAGTAAGTGAATCTATAAAGATTGTGATAAAAATCAACATGTTATGATAGAGAAGTTTTTCTATAAACTATATTAACATTAATTTTCTAATCTTGAATTTTCTACTGACAACAAAAAAATAAAATAAAAAGATTACGGTAACTTTACTTTTTGAAACCTATTCTCATATCCTATTTCATTGAATTAATCACATTTCAAATCAAGAATTAAATACATTAAAAAAAAAAACCAATGTTATAACAGTGTTTTTTTGTTCTCCTTCTTATTTCTTTAAATTTCATTCACACTCATAGTGAAACAAAAATGAACATGAAAATGAAGAAAAAGAAAAACACTCATCAACTTCATAGAACAAAGTATTATAAAGCAACAATATCATGAAAAGGAAAAGCGTTGGAAAGAAGAAAAAAAAAAAAGAAATAAAATGAGAAAAAAGAAAACCAAAAAGACTACAAGACAACGAAGAATAATAAATAAATAAATAAATAGTGAAACGTCCGACTGTTGTGAAACTGATAGCACTGATACATCATAGATAAACGAAAAGAAAAAGGAAAAAGACTAAAATAATGATTATTATCGAATTTTGTTAAATAAATTAAGTACACTGTCGGATTCTTTATTGGCACGACATTTTGTAAATACATTCCAAAATCTAAGTGTTTCATCTCCTGCGCCTGTCACTATTGATTCACCATCTGGTGATACAGCTAAATATAATACACGAAATGTATGTCCAGTTAAACGAGCTAATTGTAACATTGATGGATATTTCCAAACAACGATTTGATGTTGAGAATAACCATGCTAAAATTTACATGTTTCAATTAAATAAAAAATAAGAAAAAACAAGAGGTTTTTAAGAAATATTTCTTTACCGTTGATACAAGTTCATTCGTATGTTTTGACCAAGCTAAATTACATACCTTAAAAAAAAATATAATGAAAATTAAAAGATAAATTTCGATTAATAATTTTACTTGAGATCCAGTATCAATAGATTGTAGATTTTGTGCTGTTAATGTATTCCAAAATCGAATATGTCGATCAGCTGTACCTCCACCACTAGCTAAAAGACCTTGTTGATGTGGACTCCATGCAATAGCTTTAACAGCTGCTGTATGATCTGTATAAACTTGAATTGGATTTGAACATGATTGATTCCATACTAATAAACGATTATCATTTCCTCCACTTGCTAATAATTGTCTATCAGGTGACCATTTTAATCCACATACTTCTTGTCTATGTCCAGCTAATTTACGTTCTTGTTTATTTGAACGTGTATCATTTTGTAAAATAAATCGATCACGTGAACCTGAATATATACATAAATCATTCCAAGCTAATGCACCAACACGTGCCGTATGACGAGGAAATGAAACCGTTTTACGATTCGTTGCTACATCCCAAATTTGTACAATGCCTAAATTTTAAAAAAAAAAATTTTTGATTTTTTTCACTAAAATCTAAGCTCTAATTTACCTTTATGAGTTCCAACTGCAACATATTGTCCACGATCACTCCAAGCTACACTTGTTACTGTATCTGATTCAGTTTGTAAATCACATAATCGTGTTACATTACTTGTATTGGCATTCCATAAATAAACAGATGCATTAAGTCCTACAGCTAAAATATTTGTTGATGACCAATCAACTAAATTTAAATAAAAATCATCTTGAAGTTCAGGTGCATCAAGAACTTTAAATGGAGTTTTAGGAATTTTTCGTAATTGTTTACGTGGTGAACGTAAAAGACGAATGGATGCGGGTGATAATGGTGACAGAGAATAAGGTGAATAATGTAAATCATCTTTATTACGACGAGCAGAATAACGAAATATTGTATTTGGATCACATGTCCGTAGTAAATTTGAATTAGAATTTGTATAAGGTAAATGTTGTTGAGATGATTGAGATAGAAAACCAAGTGATGGTGTAAGAATACCCTAAAATAAATACAATTATCATTATTATTATTATTATATAATAAAAATATCTTCATTTACATTAATTCCTAAAGTTGGTGTTGTGTGTATTTGTCCTCCTAGACCTTGACCAATTACCATTGTTGTTCCTCCATTATTGTTTGTATCATTACTGCCAGTTTGATTTGTAGTACCTGTTGAAAGATGATTATTACTGTT